GGGATGTATCTCATTCGGCAGGATAGGGGCTGATAACTCCCTCGTCTTGGAGCTCGCTTCTGTTGGCAATGACATTGAGGCGGGCTTCCAATTCTTCCATCTTGGCAGACTGGAGATTCTGTTCGTTCTCCGTCTCTCTTTCTTCATCAGAGGAAGATTCTAGGTTGTGGGCTTCTTGGTCAGAAGCCGTGTCATCAACCACTTTTCCCTTCCCTTTGCTTGTGTGAGGTCGGGATGAAGATGCTTCTCTCCTCCGGGAAGATTCTTGCCTAAACGGCGAATCTGTCTCCCGATCACATTGATAGTGACCCCAAGATATTCGGTCTTTGGAGACTTCTTCCTGTGAGAACGTCGTCGTTGGTTGGGCAAAGCAACGTTCGTAAATTGGTCGAACACTAACAGTTTGGCCGCATATGAGCAGCATTGACATCTCGAGAGGACCGTAGGAATCGGTCGTTCACATTGGAATGAACGAATGATTTGTTGCATCGGTCTTTCTCTCGATATGAACTTTCTATGAGCAGCATTGACATCTCGAGAGGACCGTAGGAATCAGTCGTTCACATTGGAATGAACAACTGATTTGTTGCATCGGTCTTTCTTTCGATATGAACTTTCTCAAATCTGTTGTGAAGATTCGAGGAGAACTACTCACTGATCGTGAGGTTTGAATTGGAACCCCCAGTCCATGATTGGACATGACTGGCTCTTGGTGAACATAGATCTGGTTGAGATGCCTTGAATCCAAAGACTTCTTATATCCGCCCCTAGATCTAATCGCGTTACGCAGAGTATTCGGGGGTCCAGGGGACGGCGCGCCCCTGGCCAGGGGGTCCGGGGGGGATGGAATACCACCCGGTTGCTGGTGAAACGCAGTTCTGAGGGCTGCGTTCAGTCTTCTTCACACAAAGCCTATGTTTGGGCTCATAGACGCGAGACTTGCATTCTGAAACAGAAACGCAGGGCATAGGGTCGCGTTTAGGCTCACAAACACGAAGCTCATGTTGACTTGAGGATCAGCATTCTCGGAGATGTGCTCGTCGTAAGGATCTCCCCCTCCGTCGAGCGACGTTCTTCTTAGCCTACTTCAAGGCCTTTGTCGCCTCCATGGGCATCTTTTGACCTGATACCCGTCGTCTTGGCGCGGGTTTGGCTGAAGCTGAGCCCACTCCATCGGGGGAGGGGCTGTCCGAGCAGTCTTTCTTAGGCGGTTCGGCTGCAATTGGAGGAGTTAGAGCTTTAGTCTCTTTGGAGACTTTGTGGATCTTGCGCATAGCCTTGGGGCTAAGGGATCCGGAGGAGATAGCCTCCTCAAACTTGGCTTGATCAAACTCTACCACGAGAGTTTCGACGGTTGTTCCAGTGAGATGAACATCAAATTGCGCCACCACTTCTTCGTCACAGAAGCTTATCCCCAGCAGAGTCGCCATCTTTTGTTTGTGGGAAAATTTGCAGTAAAAGAAACGAAGGAAAATTGATTTGTATTCCTTTAATCTCAGTTACAATTGGATTTCCTGATTACAAAAGAGAAGAGAATGATCTGGATTCTCTCCTTTGTTTAATTCTGGGTTCTTCACGGTGGCGATGAGATGCCTCCCTCGAATGCTCACGTCGAGTTTGCTTCTCGTTGACGATCTGATGTCTTGTTTCACTGGAACGTGGTCTTCTCCTCACGATTTGACGTTGTGGAGAACTCTGAACGAGTTTAAAACTCTATGAAAGAGTTGATTTAATC